CTCCTCCTTTCCCAACATCATGTCCTTCTCTAAGGAATAGCACCTCCTATTAATGTGTCCAAAGTATGTGAGGCAAGAAGCTTCATCATTCCCTCCTCTGAAGAGCACTTCTGCTTCACCCTCTCCAAGACATACCTGTTTGTTCTGTTGGCTGTCCATGGAGTTTTCAGTGCTCTTCTCCAGCACCACAGCTCAAAGTATCAGTTCTTCTTCTGTCACCCTCAGATGCATAGCAAGTAATTGGAAAAGCTGTGGCCTGAATCAGACGCACCTTTGTCCTCAAACTGACATCACTACTCCTTAATAATTTGGAAAGGTCCCTAACTGCAGATTTTCCCATTGCAGTGCATCTCCTTATTTCCTGACTGCTTGTACCAAGGGTGTTAATTGTGGATCTAAGCAGGATGAAGCTGTTGATAGTTTCAATCACTTCTCCATCCATCATGGCCCTGCCTTTTGTTTTAGTAGTCAGAATCTTTGTTTTCTTGACATTGATATGCAATCCATACTGAAAGCTACATTCCTTGATCTTCTGCAACATGTGCTTCAAGTCCTCCTCATTTTCAACAAGTAAGGTTGTGTCATCTGCATAACGCAGGTTATTGATGAGTCTCCCTCCAATCCTAATGCCACACTCCTCTTCACCAGTAACTGTTAATGCATTTTGATTGCATGTTTGGTTAATTTTGGAATGCAAAAATTGGTAGAAATCCTAGTTGTTGTTTGGCTTTAGTTGTTGCTGCATATATTTCAATAATAGTCATATTAACATGCCTTCCTTGTACACTCATGGATAGTATCCTATCACCCACAACATTGTACTTTAGGATAGATTTTGAAATTGTCTTTTCTCTATGAATCCTACACCATTCAGTTTTTCATTCCTGGTATAATAGGTCATTTGATTGTCAGATTCAAAGTGTCCCATGCCATTCCATGTCAGTTCACTCATGCCTAGAATGTCAATCTTCATGTATTCTAGCTTATGTTTTATAACTTCCAGTTTTCTTACATTTATACTTCATATATTCCACATTCCAGTTATTAAAGGATACGTGCAGCTGTTTCTCCTCATTTTGAGTCATTTCCAGTCTGGGCTCTACCTCTAATTCTTCAGCAGGGGGCTGGTGGTTAGGGAGGAAAATATGCAGCAATGAATGAATAGAAATCCAATTCTCTATAAACTTTGGTTAAAATCTCAATTAAAACAAAAAAAAAATTAAAAAAAGAAAAACCAAATAAAGTTATGGACTTTTTTGAGACAAAAAAGTTAGAAATATACATAAAGCAAAAAATCCCCAAAACCCACAAACCTATATTCTTCTATTGTTTATTGTTGTGTACGATAGAGTCAGAACCAACAACTAACTTATAGCTGACCCTCCAGCAAGTTTTCAGAGGCAGTTAATCACACTGGAAGAGATTATCCGTCCTTCTATGGAGCAGCAGGTGGCCTCAAACCATATGCCTTTGGGATTGCAGTACAAATTCTTGTTACTAGGCCACCAGAACTCCCCCAAAACTTAGTTGCTCTCTGTTCTTATGTTCCTACCTTCCTGAATGCTTTAGACATTTTTAGCATGGCCTCTTGTGTCTTGAGGAGGGACACGTATGGAATGCTCGAGGCTCTTATGGCTTTCTTTTTGTCCCAAGTGGGTGTCAGCAGAGGGGACTTGCCAGATGACTTGGGGGACTGGCTCAGAGTCTGCCAGCATTTGGGCATGCCGGATTTTTAAAATACTGTAGGGCCCAAGGAATGCAGGCCCTTGGGCCAAATGTTAATTGATTTTGAATGAACACTCTTTTGAGTGGTACAGCAGAGGTCTGTTTATTTGCTTTACTGAAATAACATAAAGTTGCTGGACAACTGGGTCATAGGTGTGTCAGACACCATAATTGGCTATCTATCATGGGCAGTTTTTATTGGAGCTCCCAGGTTGATTCAGGTTTGGAAGCAGGACTGACATCCACTTCCTAAACTACATGCCTCTGGACAGTCTAAAAACTTCGAGAAATGATGAGAGTTATAGAAAAGCTCCAGGCGTTTGTTCGTCTTCTGTTTATATAAGTATCCTTCCCTCATGTGTACTCTGTCTTTATGGTGGACAAATCATTCTAGAGGTTAGACTCTATGAAGAAACATGTGGCATCAGAAAAGGAGGAGATTGCAGAAGCAGCGGAATGCTCCCAGATGGGCGTTTTTGGGTGGCGAGAGCCGGTGAGAATGCATGATTATTGAGGAATTTAAAATGATGGGGCTCATGGAGTTTGAAACATGCTTTGGTTCTTAAATTCGGTAGGCAGCCCTCGGGCTTGTTTTTAATTGTTTTTGATCAAACTTTCTTCTAGGTATTATAGCCTTGGTCTGTCCACTTGCTTTACATAGGTAACTCGTGGTTGCAGTGAAGCTGAACACTGTGACACTGATATGTCAAATGCGAGAATGTTACCCGTGGTGGACAGCGTTTGGTGGAGCTCCCCGATTAAAACGAGTTTCAAATGAGGAGTGGCATCCACTTCCGAAATAGCTTGCTTCCAGAAACCCTACGAACCTGGAGAAGGGATGAACAAGTGTTCAGGTCTTTCATTCATAAAGTCACTATGAGTCAGCACTTAACAACAACAGGCTATTAATCAAGAGATTGAAGATTTAAATCTATTCTGAAACACCTCAGGAACAACACTTGACATCTACTAAAAAGCAAACCACAAACCCAAAATACAACAGCCGTTACAGGCTGGAGCACAGTTCTACTCTAACACATAGGGTTGGTGTAAGCCGAAATTGAGTTGCTGACAACTGATGGTCATGTTCACTGAAGGTGACTGTGTATAGTCAGTCATAATTGCCTTTAAGGCCAGCCTAGCCTAATGAGAACATGGAACTTGGTAGCATGTATGCAGACCTGTCATGTGGCCTTTTGCTTCTGTCTCATGTGAAAGAAGAATATTAAAATTGTTTAAGAAACAGGGCTCAAGATTTAATTTCATGTTTTTAAGGTATTTTGAAACCCTATTGGAAAAAATCACCGCATATACAGAAATCACATAATAGAAACCCATATACATTATGGGACAAATGGATTTAAGGACTCAACAACTTTTCATTGGTACATAAGAAAGGGTTAGGTTAAATAGTTATAAATATAGGCTAAACCGTTTTAAAACAAAGTTGAAACTGTAAGGGAGCAGGGAAACTAGATTAGTGGAAACAGACTATCCAGGAGATAATGAAAATGTTCAAGCTTTTAAAAAATGTAACCATTGACCCTAAACAGCTTGTATAGAAATTGTTGAATATAAACTCAAATTTATATGTAGAATTTTACTGAAAACACAATAAAATGTTATTTAACAAATACTAAAAATATAGAAAGCTAATAAAAATAGTTGCATAGTTACCATACATTAAATGCTTAAGAAATACACGAAAGTATTATAAGTATATAAATGTGTTAGCTCTACCTTGGTAAAAAGCTCAGGTGGCCTAGTGGCAAGAAGTTGCACTGCAATCCTGAAGGTACATAATTTGAGGCCACCAGCTGCTCTGCTGAGTAGGATGGGCAATCTCCTCCCTAGTGATTAAATGCCTCTGAAAACCTGCCAGAGGGTCAGCTTTGGGTTGGTTTCGACTGTATGGTACACAACTACAACAGCCTTGGAAAATAGTTCGTTTACTTGTGTAAGTGGATGCTGGGAGGAATGAAGCCTGTGAGTAGTGAGAGGAGGTTCTCTAAAATCAGTTCTCTAACTGCAGGTACTTGTGGGTATAGCTCATAAAGCACGTGCAGTGAACTGAAGTAGTGGGTAGAAGTTTGATGAGGAAATATGTGTATTTTGTGTATACCCAAGGAGTTGTTTGTCTAGGTGCTGTGTTCTGCCTGCATCTAGTGTTTCTTGCACCTGTACAAAAGCAAACACAAAAGTTGTATTATACTCAGCTTGTTTCCCTACTATAGCAATCACTTTAGAGCAGATCTGCATTTTCAAAATAAGTCTTATAGCGGAACTGTTGATCCTACTGCACAATTTTAAAATGTGCACAGAGTACTGAGGGCATCTCAATCCCTTTTGGGTACATATTTATGGACAATCACTAAATAAATAAAATTAAACCTGTTAGCCTGAGTTTTTTAAAAAATTGTGTTTTCAGTGAAAGTTTCCAGAGAAAATTAGTTTTCCGTTCAATAATTCGTACACATTTTGTTTTATAGCATTGACTGCAGTCTCCACCACTTCTCCCTGTGTTTCCTGTTTCCGTTTGTCCTCCTTTCCTGTCCCTTCCTATTCCTATTTTCTGTCTGGTCTTTGTCCTTGGTTAAATGCTGCCCTTTCTGTGTGGCTGATTATTCTAAGGACTGCCTTCTCCCCGGACATTTTTATTCACTATTTATTGTTGTTGTTAGGTGCCATCCAGTCAATTACAACTCAAAACTATCCTTTGAACAGCAGATCTGAATTTTGTGCTTTCCTGTGCTATCCCATGAACTCTCATATGCTCAAACCTGTTATTACAGGCACTGGGTCAATCCATCTTGTTGAGGGTCTTCCTCTCTTTTTATGACCCTCTACTTTTCTCAGCATTATGTCTTTTTTCTAAGGAGCATGAAGGCCTGTCTTTTTAGCTAAAAGTTGGTCTGTAAGAGTTAGTTTCCTTCCAAGCTTAGAGGGTGTCTAGGGCCATAACTTCAGTGTTTTCACTAGTTCCGAAGTTTAATTTACTTGAAGTTTTTCTTTCTTTATGAGATTAGCTGTTAAGTATACATTGACTTTTCTCTCTCATGTTAAAATTATCTTTAACAGGCATCACATTTTGTAACCGCATCAAGTGTAGTTAAAAGTGGAAATCTTTGTCAGCTGTAATGACAACTTTAAGGCCAGTCGTCTGTCTAAAGTTTCTACTATTTAAGATAATTTGTTCTCCTCTTTATATGCTATATGTTAGTTAAGTAGAAAATTAATTAGACTTTTGTCTTTAAATGAGTCTGTATTTTTCTTAGCACCACGAATTCCAGTGGATAAAAGAATTTTTACCACAACACATACCCCAGGATGTGTTTTCCTTGAAGTAGATGAAAGGTAAGTCAAAAGAAATTTGCCCCTGTAAACAAGTTAAAAATGTAAAGGCATTTTGCCATGCTTGCATACCTCTTTATTATCAAGGAACACTGGTGTCACAATGGTTAGCGTACAGAGTTGCTAAGTGAAAAGGTTAGTGGTTTGAGACCACCAGCTGCTCCATAAGAAAGTTGTAGCAATCTGCTTCTAAAAAATATTACAGCCTTGGAAACCCTATGGAACAGTATGGTGTCAAAGAGGTTACTGTGAGTCAGAACTAACTCAGTGGCATGAGTTTGGTTAGGTACTGTCATACACTTAACAAACATGCATCACTTAACAAACATTGCTCATTTAACAGCTTAGGTTTTCCATGTTGTGGTGTGATTTTCTTTGAAATGGCCACATAATGTCTCACTCTGTGGATGTGTGGCTCCAAACTTGGCTCGACTTCAGAGTCCTTTGAGGAACTTCTTAAAAGTGTAGACTTCCCAACCTACTCCCAGGGGTTCTGATTTAGTAAGTTTGTGGTGAGTTTGTAAATCTGTTGTTTAGCAAGTTCTTGGACTATTTTGATGCAGTTTATCAGACGGCCACCACCTTCCCACACAGAAGCACTTACCTTGGTTTTTCACTTTTTGCTATTATAAATGTTTCACTGAAAGTCTTTTACTTAATATTTTTTTTTATTGTATTATTTTACGTGTACCGTCAAATCAGATCTGACTGGTACAGGAAGAGATTGCCCCCTCCTTCTCCAGCAGAGCGTCTGGTAGATTTGAACCGCGTACCTCTGGGATTGCAGTGCAGTGTCTTGCCACTAGGCTACCAGAGCTCCCTACTTAATATTTAAAATAAGGTTTAAAATGCTGAAAGTATACGGTTCAAAAATTATTTGTTGAGTCCCAAATGCTTGCACTAGTAAGATAACTCTAGAAAGATTGCTTGCTTCTTTGATTTGTGATAATGTGTTATGTCTGTTTCACAGAGCAGTGCCTTTGCTGGGTTACCTACCTCAAGATCTGATTGGAACATCGATCTTAACTTATTTGCACCCAAAAGATCGTTCCATGATGGTTGCCATACACCAAAAAGGTAAGGACCTTTATTGGAAGAAAATATTTTGTGTCATTGCTCTGCACTAATTTTCCATGTAATTTCTCCTGATATTAATCATTACCTTTAAAGAGGTAAACAATATATTAAAGTTGCCAAAACAAATTCTTTTTTTTTATTTTGAAATACTCAAAGGCTTACAGTTACTTAAAAGATAACATTTTTGTGATCAGTTCCTCTGCTCAGTACATTTCAGTCTTGTCTGTTGTTGTTTTATAGTCCTGAAGTATGCAGGCCAGCCTCCCTTTGAACACTCACCAGTTAGATTTTGTACTCAAAATGGAGATTACATCATCCTGGATTCCAGCTGGTCCAGCTTCGTGAACCCCTGGAGCCGGAAGGTTTCTTTCATTATTGGTCGGCATAAAGTCCGGACGTAAGTCAGTCAGTATTCAGGATTTCTGAAACTTCTTTTTTGCTACATAATTATTTCTTTGCCCATTGAAACCTCCTGAATCAATAGGTAGTCAAACCATGAAATAAAAAAAAATGCAAATTTTCTTCAGTGTTTTTAGAAGACAGTTTGTCAGTGTACACCAGGTATGTTAAGTACCAATAAACTTTGTAAAAAAGGCAATTGCAATTTTACTTAATAAAAAATTTTATTCAAATCAGTTTTATTTAATCATTTTAAATGTGCAATTAATTATGACTAATATACAAAAAAAGGTGAAAGAAAAATCACAACTCTTCCTATACTTCCGTATGACTTGTGTATAACCAAAATTTATTATTTTGCCTTGTTTCTTTGATACTTCTGTCACATGCCCCTTATATGTTTATTTTATAAAATTCTTATTTTTAAAATTAGTCTGTAAGAGTACTCCGCATGCTAATGTGACCGATTGTTCTTGCCTTGTGTGTGTAACAGAATAATTAATATGAAACAGATCTAAACAACCCAGCTCTCCACTCTTACAACCTAAATACTCCTAGTCATTTAAACACCTTACATTTTTGATCTATTTTTCATTGATATATGCATTTCTAAACCAGCCCCAAAATTTTCTTTTGCTGTCTTTTTTTTAAAAGCATGAAAATTGTACCCAACTCTTGAGGATCATACTAAATTTTTGAAACAGCTTTTTATTTTGTTCTGCAATGTTACATATATAAATGTCAAACTAAGAAGAAAGCTCCAGTGTTATTGTTGAGTGCCATTTCATTTGGCAGAGTATAACTACCCCATAGAGTCTTTTCAGTTATAATCTTTAGAGGAGTAGGTCACCAGGTGTTTCTCTGCGGGATCATTAGGCGGGTTAGAACTGCCAACATTTTGATTAACTCCTGAGTGCTTAGCCATCATTCTACTAAGTCTACCAGTAGAACTAATTTTGACACACAGCTGGATTTTACAGAAGAGATAATGTGCCTATGATGAGCATAGGTCTCAAGTAAAATTACCTGACATAAAATAAATACTGAAGATTTTCCCAGTATTTTAGAAATTATACCAATGAACTCTCAAGACCCAAGATTGTATAAGGGTTTAGAGTCTTAGTAGATATTACTCCTGTTCATGAATTCTCCATATTTATAAAAGTGTTTTGAGGTATTTATTCTTCTGCATAAGTACATATGATTATTGGCTCTTTGTCAGGCATCCTGTGAGTCACTGAGATTGAAAAGGTAAATCAGGCCTCCTCTTCACCCTCTTGGAGCCCACAGTATAGTGGGAGAGACAGCAAATAAAAATGGCACTGGCTTGTCAATCAGAGCCCTGAAAGTGTGACGACTGAAATGAGAAGGGACTCTGAGTGTGCCCAGCAAGGGATCGTCACTATCTGCAGTCATTGGATTTTTTGCAACAGTTCTGTAGGCAGATGAGGTTCTTTCTCATCTTACAGGCAGAATCCATAATGATGAAGCAAGGTAACTTGGCTGGAGGTCAGGTGAGAAAGAAATTGCAAAATGGAGATTAGCATCAGCGCTTGCGTTCTTCCTTCTAGCCCAGTTCCCTTTACATACAAACCTGCCCTGACACTTACCGGCATGCCTGTCACTGCTCGGTGAAGACTATCTCTGTCATCTGAAATGAACCATTTTAGTTCTGTAAATCCTTGTCACGACCTTCGACTCCTAGCTTGCTCATGTGTACCACAGTAGAACTTTGCTCGCTGGGTTTCGAGTGGCTCATTTTACAGAAGATGACCAATCTTTTCTTATGAGGAGCCTTTGGGTGGACTTGACCCTCAGCCTTGATTAGCACCAAAGTCCACAAACTTTTCTCACAACCTAGAGAACTCATTGAACTGTACTGTTACTCAGTACTGAAAGTGCAACTTAGTTTTACATTTTACATTGAGGAATATGTAAATATTTTTTTTATTTAACATTGTTTTAGTTGGTTTGCATACAGTAATTCATTTACATGTTTCTTTCATGTACTGTGTTTTATACAATCTTTGATGCAGTCATTCATATACACTGTATTTGATACAACCAAGTCACTATTGATCTATGCCTGGTATCACCCCATATCTTTGAGTCCCTGCTAAATCTTTCCTATTCCTTGATGATACCCACTAAACTCCACTGTCCCAGTGATTCCTGCCCTTCTCCTTTCACTGACTCTTTCTTCCATATCCCCTTCTCCTGTTGGACATTCCCACACATTTAAGTAGTTACCCTTCCATTTTTACAATTATGGTCTCATGTAGTATTTGTCCTTATGAGACAGGGTTAGTTCACTCAGCTCTCTAGAATCTCCCATCTTATATTGTATGTTATGAAGTTGTTGTTGGGTTAGTGCTGCATAGTATTCTATTGTGTGAATGTACCACAATTTCTCAATCCATTTTTTTGTTGATGAGTGTTTGGGCTGTTTTCTTTTTTTTTTCTTCTTTTGGCTGTTGTGAATAATGCTGCTATAAACATATATGTACGCATATCCATTGTGTCTCAGTTTTCATTTCCTCTGGGAATGGAGTATGTAAGGAATATATAAATGTTATTATACAAAAATTATTCATTCTTTTCTTGTTCCAGAATGTCACTCTAAAAACAGTATCTGAGCACCACTAGAAGTTAATCTCATCAGTGCCTAAACTAAATTGATTTAAGTCAATGATGCTTTGTTTACACAAATACATACCAGGATTGAGCAGAATTTCAATCTGCTGTACATAAGGCTGTTAAAAGTCAGAGTTATCATCACCTAACAACAGTGTTGAAATCATTCTAGAAGGACTTTGTTGTTTTGCCCTTTAATGTCAATTCTGACTCAGAGTGAACCTATATGATAGAGAACTATCTTCTGGATAGGGTTTCTTTACGAAAAGAGGCCTGGCTGTATAGTAATTAAGCACTGCTAACTGAAAAGTTGGCAGTTCAAATGCACCAGCTATTCCACAGGAGAAAGATGTGGCAATCCTCTTCCATAACGATTGTTGTTGTTGTTAAGTGCCATCAAGTCAAGTATGACTCATAAATGACCCTATAAACAGCTGATCTGAACCCTGTCTTATCCTGTGCCGTCCTTATGGTTTCTGACACACTCAAGCCTGTAGCCACCAGTCACCATGTCAGCCCACCTAGTTGAGTATCTTCCTCCCTTATAAACCCTATGAGGCAGTTCTGCTCTCCTTTAGTCACTGTTGTTGGTACTGTCTAGTTGGAACTAACTCATATTTGATCCTTTAGTGGGTTTTCACGTCCCGCAGGATTTCAGAGGCAGCAAATCACATGGAGGAGATTGTCCATCTTTCTCCCTCAGTGTGGCTGGTGAATTTGAACCACATACCTTTGGGTTGTCAGCTCAGCTCCTTACCACTAAGCTGCCAGAGCGCCCTCTAGAGTTGGAATTGACTCTATAGCAGCAGATTTCTAAATTGCAGTCTTCTTTACAAGAGCACATTGCTGTGCTCACTTTGGCAGCACATATACTAAAATTTGAACAATACAGAGAAGATTAGCATGGTCCCTGTGCAAAGATGACACACAAATTTTTGAAGCATTCCATATTTTTAAAGGTTAAATCTCTGTGTGCATCAAAACTTTTTTCAGTAGGGTAAAAAGAAAACCTACTAACTGGGCAAAAACATTTGGCAGTGCCATCTTAGACAAGGGTCTTATAATGAAAGTTTGCAGGATCCTACAGGGCCTCCACAAGAAAGGCTTATATGGGCAAAAGATATGAAAAGACTTTCTACAGAGGAAGATACTCGGATGGCCAGCAGACACATGAAGGGATGATCAGAATCACTGACAGTAGGAGAAATGCAAATCAAAACCACAATGAGATACCGTCTTACCCCAGTTCTTGTTGTTGTTGTTGTTGTTATTAAATGCCATCAAGTCATAGACTACTCATAGCAACCCTTTGAATGAAAGACCTGAACACTTGTATAACTTTCATAATTTCTCCAAGTTCATAGAGTTTCCTGAGGCAAGCTATTTTGGAAGTGGATGCAACTCCTGCTTCCAAGCTTGTTTTAGTCGGGGAGCTCCCCCAAATACTGTCCACCGTGGGTAGCCATTATCATATTTGACACAATAATGTCACAGTGTTTAGCATCACAGCAACCACGAGTTACCTCTGTACAGCAAATGGACAGACCAGTGCTATACCAGTTAGAAAAATGTTTGACCCAAAACAATTAAAACCAGGCCTGAGGTGGCAGATTAAAATCACCCACCTTTGGCTTGGTAGCATCACTTTCTATCCACTAGGCCAACAGAGCTCTTTCGTTGTTGTTATTGTTGTTAACTGCCGTCAAGTTGTGGATGACTCAGAGTGACCCTATGAATGAAAGACCTGAAGGACAGCAAACATTAAATGTTTCAGAGAATGTGGAGAGATTGGGACTCTCATACACTGTTAGTGGGGTTACATAACCACTCTGGAAGGTAGTTTGGTATTTCCTCAAATAGCTGAGTGTAGAAATTCCATGTGACCCAACTCTTCTGCTGCTAGGAATATACCCCGAGGAAAATAGAACCAAGGCACAAACAGATTTATACACTGATGTTCGTAGCAGCATTTTTCACAATAGCAAGAAAATGGAAATGGTCAAAATGTCCATCAACAACGAATGGATTAACAAATTGTAAATTCACTCAACAGAATACTATACAGCACTCAGGAGGAATGATTTTGAAAAATACTCTGTGACATGGGAAAGACTAGAGGGTGTTATGGTGAGGGAACTAACTCGGTCTTATAAGGAGAAATACTGCATCAGACCATTATTGTAAAAATAAAAGGATTACTAGTAAGAGGTGTACCAAAGTAGAAGGGGGGTAGGGGATGGAGGAGGAGGATTAAGGGTGGGAGGGAAATCTTGAGGTAGGACAAGTTTGGTGAGCAGAGGGAGGGGGTAAAGGAGTTAGGAAAGATCCAGTGGGGAGCTGTAAAGGTAGGGTAATGATGGGCATGGATCAGTGGTGACTAAATGTAATAGAATAATGTGAAACACTGTGTGAATGGAGGAATACATGAAATACACATACATAAATGAAACACAATGCATACAACTTTTGTTAGTAAACCAACATAAAAATTTTTTAGAAGTAATATTTTTTAAAAAAAGCAAATTGCCATTTCCTTTTCCTACAGAGCCATTGTTGAGTTTGAACCACTAACCGTTTGATAAGCAGTCAAATACTTAACTATTGAACCCAGAATGCCTTAGTATGACCTTAGCTCAACTTTCTGTGCCATCCAATTGTCCAGGACTCACAGCTGACCTTTCCATTTACTTTCTAAGGCTGTAAATCTTGAAGAGAGAAGATTGCCTAACTTCTTTCTTGGAGCAAATGGTAAATTTGACCTGGTAGAGAGACATGATTTCTTTTGGTTAGTAGTGCAACATGCCACAGCCTACACCACTTACGCTCCTTTACAGAGACTATAGGTTAGAGAAACTAACCCCAAATTTGTTGCTGTTAAGTCAATGCTGACTCATAGTAACCTTACAGGACAGAGTTTTAGCTTCATATTTTCTGTAGTTGGAGATCAAAGAATTGCTTTGCAAGAATATAGATTTATCCTTCAAGAGTACTATTGAGAATCACTTTAGACTGCAGGTGAATGAATTTTAAAGTGTTTGACTCAGTCTTTCGCTTGATGTTTTGTAGGAGTCCACTAAATGAAGATGTTTTTGCTACCAGAATGAAAAAGACAAACAATAATGACAAAGACATCACTGAATTGCAAGAACAAATTCACAAACTTCTCTTGCAGGTAAAAGTGAGAATTTTTTTTAAAAAGAGCATAAAACCTTTATAATCATGTCTTACTGTTTTAACAGTTCAGTCCTAGTAAAATTACTCCACAAGAATAAACTGCAGAAGAGAGAAATTCTTGATTCTTTGCATGTCAGAAAATTTTGTCCATTTTTAAATTGTGGTAATGAATATATATGTTGTTGTTGTTATGCACCATTAAATGGGAGCCAACCCCTAGCTAACCCTTCAGCGGATTTTTTGAGGCAGTTAATCACAAAGGAGGAGATTGCCTCTTTCTCCTACAGAGCAACTAGTGTTTTTGAACCACTTGCCTTTGGGTTGGCAGTACAGTTCCTCACCACTAAACCACCAGAGCTCCCCATTTTTTGTTGTTGTTAGGTGCCGTTGAGCTGATTATGACTGATTGCAACCTTATGAAGAAAAGATCTGAACCCTGTTCTATCCTGTGCCATTCTCATAGTTCCTGACACACAGGAGCTCATTGCAGCAGTCACTGTATCAATCTATCTGGTTGAGGGTTTTCCTTTCCTTCACAGAACCTCTGCCCTTCCCAACATTATGCCCTCCTCCAAGGAACAGTCCCTCCTAGTATCATGTCCAAAGTATGTGAGGTGAAGCTTCATCATCCTTGCCTCCAAAGAGCACTCCGGCTGTACCCTCTCCAAGATCTATCTGTTTGTTCTCTTAGCTGTCTATGGGATGTTCACTCCAACACCACAGCTCAAAGACATAAATTCTTTTTCTGTCATCCTTATTCATTGTCCAAGTCCCGGAGGCACAGCAAGTAATCAGAAAGACTATGGCCTGATATAGATACACCTTAGTCCTCAGATTGACATCACTACTCCTCAATAATTTGGAAAGGTCCCTAACTGCAGGTTTTCCCATTGCAATGTGTCTTCTTATTTCCTGACTGCTTGTACCAAGGTTGTTAATTGTGGATCTAAGCAAGGTGAAGCTGTTGACAGTTTCAGTCTTCTTTCCATCTATCATGACACTCCCTATTGATCCAGTGGTAAGAATCTTTGTTTTTCTTAATATTGAGATGCAGTCCATACTGAAGGCTGCATTTCTTAATCTTCTGTAACAAGTGCTTCAAGTCCTCACTTTCAGCAAGTAAGGTTGTGTCATCTGCACAACACGGGTTATTAATGAGTCTCTCTCTAATCCTGATACCACATTCCTCTTCATAGAGTCAGAATCTCAGATAATTTGCTCAGGACACAGATTGAACAGGTATGGAGAGAGAGTATATCTCTGACACACTCCCTTCCCAATTCCAAACCATGCAGTGCTCCCCTGCTCCGTTCACATAACAGCCTCCTTCTAATTCAGGTATAGGTTCTGCATGAGCAAGTCTGTATTTTAAACAGATTCTTGAACTAGTGAATCATAGACCTCAGCTTGTTCAACTTTAGTACCTGTCTCATCTCCAGTAGCGTTTCCAAAGCTATCTCCTTCACCAGGAAGCTTCATAAATTTTCTTCAACATTCTTACTTTTCTAACATGTACATGAAATGTGCAAAGAAGGGACACAGTTATTCAGCACTTCTTCAACTGAAGGAAATGAAGAACAAATTCAAGCTTTGAGTTGCACTACTTAAGCGTGCTGTGGGCAGAATGTCGAATGACCCAGGAAGCCTCAAAAGAAGATGAAAAGAGTACACAGTCACTGTACCAGAAATAATTGGTTGTCAAGGAAGAATTTCATGAAACAACATATAATCAAGAGCCAATGGTTATAAAGGAGGAAGTTAGAGTTGCCTTGAAGGAATTGGCAAAAAACAAGGCCCCAGGAATTGATGGAATACCAGTTGACCTATTTCAACAAACAGATGCTGTCCTGGATGCTCTCACCAGGTGGAGCCAAGAAATCTGGAGGCCAACCACCTGGCCAACTGACTGGAAGTGATCATTATTTATTCCCATTCCAAAACAGGTGATTCAACAAAGTAAGGAAATTATTGAACAGTATCATTAATATCAAGTGCAATAAAGATCTTGCTGAAAATTGTCCAAAAACAACTGGAACAGCACATTATCAGAGAACTACCAGATATGCAGGCTGGGTTTAGAAGACACCATTGCACTAGAGATAAAAAGCCAGACTTAGATGGATCTTAACTGAAAGCAAAGCAGAGGCATGTCTATCTGAGTTTCATTGACTATGCAAAGGTATTTGACTGTGTGCATCACAGCACACTGTAGCCAGGTATGAGAAGAATGGGAATCCCAGAACAATTGTTCATGTAAAACTTATAGTTAACCAGAAAGCAGTCATCAGAACAGAGCAAGGAAACACTGCATGGTTCAAAATCAGGAAAATTGTATGCCAGGGATATGCATCCTGTCTCCATACCTTTTCAATCTATATGTGGAACAGATCATACAGGAGACTGGGCTTTATGAGAAGGAATGTGGCATCAGGATTGAATGGAGGAAGCCTCATCAACAGCCACTTTATGCAGATGGCACAACCTTGCTTGCTGAAACTGAGGAGGACCTGAGGCATTTGCTAGAGAAGGTAAAGGACTGTAGCCTTCAATATGATTTAAAGCTCAACATCAAGAAAAAAAGATTCTCACCACGGGGCCAATTGGCAGCATCATAATAGATGGAGAAGAGATTGAAATTGTTAACAGCTTTAGCTTGGTTGACTCCACAATCAACATTCTTGGTACCAGCAGCCAGAAAAATCACAAGATGAATTACTTTGGGAAAATCTGCTGTCAGGGACCTCTCCAGAGTATTGAAGAGCAATGATGTCAGTCTAGAGACTAAGGAGCACCCTATCTAGGCCATGGCCTTTGCAATTACTTGCTATGCATCAGAGAGCTGGACAATGAATAAGGATGAGAGGTGAAGAAGGATTGATGCCTTTGAGTTGTGGTGAAGCTTAAGGGAGCTCTGGTAGCCTAGTGGCAAGAAGCTGCACTGTAGTCCCAGAGGCGTGTGGTTCAACTCCACCAGATGCTTTGCTGGAGAAGAAGGGGCAATCTCCTCCTGTACCAGTCAGATCTGCTTTGACAGCACACACACACAAAAGATAGTAAAATAATAATAAAAAAATAATAATAAAGAAGCTTAAGTGTACCACAGACTGCTAAGAGAACAAATATCTTTCCTACAGAGGGTGAATCCAGATTGCTCCTTGGATTTTGATTCTGAAGCTCTCTCTGATATATTCTGGGCATGTTTCCAAGAGGGACCTGTCCTTGGAGAAAGACATAATACTTGGAAGGGTGGAGGGACAGTGCAAGAGAGGAAGACCCTGGACAAGATGGATTTACTGAGTAACTGGGGTAACGGTGGTAGGCGTGTCAGAGGCAATGAATTTGGCTCAAAAAAAGAGCAGAGTTCAGAGCTGTTTGTTATACATAGGTTCGCTGTGAGTTGCAGGCGACTAACAGCACATAACAACAACAGCAACAAATAAATCATGAACAGGATAAATAGACTGGCAAGCCTTTTCTATGTCTTTCCCAGTGTAGTCTGTAATCAATTTATTGACCACTTCTTTTAAGTAATTTCTCTGCATATCTTGGGTCATGATTTCCTTCATTCAGGATTTGTCAGACCTGTTGGTGCTGAACATATGATGTCTTCTGTGTTTGATTGTTGCATTTTTTTGAAAAACCAGCAAAAAACAGATGAAGCAAATAATCATCAGTAGTTTTGACATCAACCTGAACTTCAATCATTTTTTGACCATGGAGCACATTTTGTCATAAGTAAGATCCATGCCATGGAAGTTGCTGAGGCAGTTTTTGCCTCAAACATCCTCAGTAATTAGCTTGAATTTTCTAAATGCAGCTTCATCGTTTTGCAAATCAGCAAGGCTCACTTCAAAAACATGATCGTTGAGTCCATCAGATGCAATCTTGCTTATTTCAGTCCTTGTGACTAGTGTCTTCCCAATATTTCTTACATTAATAATAGCTGGTACCTTTACCACTATACCAGTCTTGCCTAGAAAATGGATCAACCACTTTCTTCTTGGCTCCTTTATTGGCACCTTTTGTAAGGCACTTGTTCTTGCCAACTACTACGTGGTGGTGCTCAGAGAATGAGGAGGACAGAAGTGTCTTTTCAAAAATTAAATTTTGTTTTGATTTTTTGGGGTCCTTTTTTGTGTTAAATACACAGAATATTTTGTAAGAATTTATTTGAAGATGGCAGAGAGTCAAGTCACAGAAGCATTAGTAGGGAAAATTCTAAGGGGGAGAATTCTTGTATTAAAGTCTTATTATGCCTCTGAAATTTGGCTTTAGTATTTTTCTTAAATATTTCCAACTTTACAGCAATGATGTAGGGAAGAATGGTGGGTCTCAGTTAATATGAGGTAAAAGTAAGAAAAAAATAACTAATACCAAAGGTAGTTTCTATTAGGGATTCAGCAAGTTTTTGAACTATTAAACTGATATCAAGAACATAACTAAAAATTTATACTCAGCTTTAAAAAATATCTTTTGGCGAGCTCTGGTGGCCTAGTGGCAGGAAGCTGCACTGTAATCCCAGAGGAGTGTGGTTCAAATCCACCGGAAGCTTTGCTGGAGAAGGAGGAACAATCTCCTCCTGTACCAGTCAGATCTGATTTGACGGTACACATACACACACAAATAATAAAATAAAAT